ATTAGAGATGTTTAGCGGAACAGGTAGTGTTGGACTTGTTGCAAAGTCGCTCGGCTTCAATGTTATTTCATTGGATTTGAAAAATGCTGATATAAATACTGATATTTTGAAATGGGATTATAAACAATTTGATAGGAACCATTTTGATTTTATTTGGAGTAGTCCCCCATGCACTGAATATAGTGTAGCAAAAACTAGGGGAATAAGGAATATCGAATATGCAAATAGTATTGTCTTAAAAACTATTGAGATTATCAAATATTTCAATCCTAAATATTTTGTAATCGAAAATCCACAAACTGGATTATTAAAACATCAGGAGTTTATGGATGAGTTTGATTTTAAAGATGTAGATTATTGTAAATATGGAATGTCTTACAGAAAACGCACTAGGCTATGGAATAACATTACAACTTGGAAACCTAAAGATTTATGTAAAAAGGATTGTGGCAACATCAGGAATAATAAACATATTGAAACAGCACAACGACTACAATCGGGCACTAAGGAAAAATGGGGAGACAATCCAATAATACATAAACAGGAAGACCTATATAAAATACCTAGCGAATTAATTTGTGAAATCTTGGTGAGTTTGAATTAGGGTGGTTCATCACAACATCCACCATCATTGCATTCATCGTGGATGAGGCGAAGCCTTTAAGGGGGACGCGCTCACACCAGAAAAGAACCAAACACACCCACACCCCAAAAACCGCCGAGAGGGAAATCCGGATGGAAGCACAAACAAAGACGAAAGCCACATTTAAGATGCTGAAACTGACATGCTGGATGCTGAAACTGACATGCTGGATGTTGAATCTGACATGCTGGGTGCATGCTGGATGCTGAAACTGACATGCTGGACGCTGAATCTGACATGCTGGATGCTAGATTTGAGCTGTGGGATGGTGCATTCCATCACACATGACCCTTGTGTGATACATCCTAGTCTGACATCTGCACATTCTGCAACTGCGCCGTGAAAATTGTATAAATTGGAGAGATAATCAAACTTTAATCAAATGTGTGTTGAGAATAAAAGGAAGACATAATAGAAATGTAGAAGATGAGATTTTAATATTTCTAACTGTAAATAAAATACCACCTTATGATTATGTTAAACAGTTTCTTAAAATTAGTAAGAAAAAATATGAAATGATGGATGATATATTATGGTTGTTGTGTTATAGTCAAGAGAAAGGAGAAGATGTTAAAGAAAATATCAAATTATTTATTGAAAGTAAAAAGTTTAATATTCAAAATACATTGAGAGATATTAATATTATTTTTAAAATGATGTATGAAAGAAGAAAGATTTGTCAATTAAATTATTATCCTGTGCTGAAATTATAATCATACTATAATAATAACATGTAAAATCTTATATGTTATAATTATACTGTACTTATAGTTTGTAAAGATTGAAATATTTTATTTTTCTTGATTTGGTTATCTCTTTCAAAGTGCGTTGTTTGAACTTGGTATGCTCTTTTGATTTTTTCGTGCTTTGGCTGTTTGTTTTTTATTTTGTTTGATACTCTTCTGATATTTTTTGATGGTATGTTGCTTTGTTTTTGATTTTGTGTGTTTTTGAGTTTGTGTTCTTTGATGGTTTTTATTTTTGCTGTTTTGTTTGTATGCTTGTTTGAATTATTTAATGTTTTATGCTTTGATTAAATATTTTGTTGGGGGTTGTTCTGGTTTTTGAGTTGCTTGGTGGTTCTTATCTTGTTTTCTGTGAATTTTGCTGATTTTGTTGTATGCTGTTTGAATATTTGGTTTTAGTGTTACAAATGCCGTTTTATGTATTTTTTGGGGGGCCCCATGGGCTCACCCCCCGGTCACGACGTCAAGATCACGCGCGCGCTCGCCGCTCCCTCGGTCACGAATCGAGAGGGCCACGGGGATGCTCTCCCCCCGGTCGTGACGTCAGGAGCGCGCTTGCGCGCAACGTTCCCTCGGTCCTGAATTGGGGGGGCCCGACGAGCTCGCCCCCCAGTCAAGACGTCAAGAACACACTCGCGCGCGCGTGGCTGCGTGCGCCGGTCGCCGACGCCCCCTTGAACAACGCGCGGAGGACCCCGAAGAGTCCCCCGCCGCGTCCTCAAGGACGTCGACGGCTCGCGCGCTCGCGCGCGCGTCCTCTCGGTCGTGTCCTGAGGGAGGGCATCCGCGTGCTCGCCTCCCCTGTCACGACGTCAAGAACGCGCGCGCAGCGCGCGCAGAGGCACCCCCTCAGACCGCAGATGAGATACCCAGAGGACCTGGGTCCCATCGCGTGTCTTCAAGGATGTCTCGCCGCAGGTCGTCCCCTTGACCAGCGGACAAGGAAGTTCCAGACGAACCCCCCGTCATGGTCTCAAAGACGACAAGCGGGCGCAAAAAGCGCGGGCCTGCTCCCTGTATAGGGCAGGTTGGCGAAAGAGGGCGGAGCCCTGTAAGAACCCTTGGCAGGACCTGGTTTCTAGTTCCCCCCTCAGGGCCTCCGGCGGCCAGGCTCCGACGGGGCTTTTCCTGGAGGGGCGGCCTGGCCTACAGCCTACAGGGTGTCCTGAAAAAGGGTTTCCCACCCAAGGACCTCAGGGAAGGGGACCACCCAAAGACCCCAAGATCCAGAAAGGACAGGGAGAGGACCCAAGAACCTCCAGCTTAACCCCTTATTCCAGGGCTCCTCTCCCCTGGCTGTTTGGGGTTCTTGGGTTGTCCCCTTCCCTGAGGTTCTTGGGCCCTCTCCCCTGGCTGTTTGGGGTTCTTGGGTTGTCCCCTTCATTGAGGTTCTTGGGTCCTCTCCCTGGCTGTTTGGGGTTCTCGGGTTGTCCCCTTCCCTGAGGTTCTTGGGTCCTCTCCCCTGGCTGTTTGGGGTTCTCGGGTTGTCCCCTTCCCTTCCCACCTGGTTTTTAGTTCCCCCCAGGACTTCGACCGGCCAGGCTCTGATCGAAGGTGATCTCCTAGGGGGCGCCGTTTGCGTATTTTACTGCCTCGCCAGGCGCGCACGCACGCCCGCTAGCACGGGCTGAATCCACCTTTTTTCTCGTTCGCAAACGCTTTGCTTGGCTTCGATTTTTTCCAGTCCTGCTCTCTGTTTCGTTCAGCTAGCCGCCTTCACTCCGCCTCAGTCTGTTTCAGTTCCCTTTAGTCCGTCTTTGATGTCTGTGTTTCAGTCGCAGAGACCCCTTTTCTCAATTGTCTTCCCTTTCAGTCCCTGTCAGTCTTTTCACTCTTTCAGTCCCCTTCAGTCCGCTTACTTTTCCTTCAGTCCCCCCTTCGGTCCCGTTCGTCCATTGTTGGGCCCCCTTCAATCCTTTCAGTCCCTTTCTGTCCCCTTCAGTCCCCTTCAGTCCCCTCGGTCCCCCTCAGTCCCCTTCAGTCCCTTTGGTCCCCTTCAGTCCCTTCCGTCCCCTTCAGTCCCCTTTCAGTCCCTTCAGTCCCCTTCAGTCCTTTTCAGTCCTCTTCAGTCCCCTTCTTTCAGTCCCTTCAGTCCCCTTCAGTCCTTTTCAGTCCTCTTCAGTCCCCTTCGGCCCCTTCAGCCCCCTTCCGTTCCTTTCAGTCCTCCTCAGTCCCCTTCCGTCCCTTCGGTCCCTTCAGTCCCCTTCAGTCCCCTTCAGTCCCTTTCAGTTCTCTTCCGTCCCCTTCGGTCCCTTCAGTCCCCTTCAGTCCTCTTCAGTCCCCTTTCGGTCCCTTCAGTCCCCTTCAGTCCTTTTCAGTCCTCTTCAGTCCCCTTCGGCCCCTTCAGCCCCCTTCAGTTCCTTTCAGTCCTCCTCAGTCCCCTTCCGTCCCTTCAGTGCCCTTCAGTCCCTTTCAGTGCTCTTCAGTCCCTTTCGGTCCCTTCAGTCCCCTTCAGTCCCTTTCAGTCCTCTTCAGTCCCCTTCCGTCCCTTCAGTCCCCTTCAGTCCGTTTCAGTCCTCTTCAGTCCCCTTCAATCCCTTCAGTCCTCTTCAGTCCCTTTTCAGTCCTCTTCAGTCCCCTTCGGTCCCTTCAGTGCCCTTCAGTCCCTTTCAGTCCTCTTCAGTCCCCTTCGCCCTTCAGTCCTCTTCAGTCCCTTTCAGTCCTCTTCAGTCCCCTTCGGTCTCTTCAATCCCTTTCGGTCCCTTTCAGTCCTCTTCAGTCCCCTTTCAGTCCCTTCAGTCCCCTTCAGTCCTTTTCAGTCCTCTTCAGTCCCCTTCGGCCCCTTCAGCCCCCTTCAGTTCCTTTCAGTCCTCCTCAGTCCCCTTCCGTCCCTTCGGTCCCTTCAGTCCCCTTCAGTCCCCTTCAGTCCCTTTCAGTTCTCTTCAGTCCCCTTCGGTCCCTTCAGTCCCCTTCGGTCCTCTTCAGTCCCCTTCGGTCCTTTCAGTCCCCTTCAGTTCCTTTCAGTCCTCTTCAGTCCCCTTCGGTCCCTTCAATCCCCTTCAGTCCCTTTCAGTCCTCTTCAGTCCTCCTGTCAGTCCCCTTCAGTCCCTTTCATCAGTCCCCTTCGCTCCCTTCAGTCCCCTTCAGTCCTTTTCAGTCCTCTTCAGTCCCCTTCGGCCCCTTCAGCCCCCTTCAGTTCCTTTCAGTCCTCCTCAGTCCCCTTCCGTCCCTTCAGTGCCCTTCAGTCCCTTTCAGTGCTCTTCAGTCCCTTTCGGTTCCCCAGCAGTGCAGCTCCTGACGCCGACGAGCGGGAAAGGCGAACGCGAGCAAGCTCGCAGCTTGCGGCTCCCGAGTCCTGAGTAGTTCGGGCGCGGAAGAGAGCGAGAGCGTCCCTGGAGCCCCCTTGAGCCCGCGCGCGTCGAGCCAGGACCGCGGCTCACGAAAAATCGCTCAGACCTTCTCCGTCACGCTCTCCCTTCCCCCCGCTCGCCCTCTCCCCCCGGGCACCTCGAGCTAGCTTTTTGCCCCGAGCGGCCGCGATCACTTATCACGCGCGCTTCGCGCGACTTGCTTTCGGTCTGCACTTTGGGCAAAGCCTTTGGCGCTTGTCGCTCCCTTGCCCGCGTGGCTCGCTCCACGCGCCGCCGCATTTGCGGCATGTGCTCTTGCCCTTAGCCCAAGAGCCGCGCGAAGCGCAATTCAAACAGCGCTGGCTGCGGGCCGACGAGGGGAGGACGTTGTGCTCCGCAGCGCCGGCCCCCGGAAAGAACAAGTCGCAAGTCCGGCAAGTGAACCAGCCGGCCCCACTTAGGCTGCCTTCTCACGTCGGCCGCGCAATCAGCGCAAACCGCCGCCCACGGCATGGTCGCCATCGCGCTGTTGAATTCGGAGATCTGCTTCGTGCTTTCGCAGACGGAGCACTCCAAAATGTCAACTTCCTTCAAACACTTGAGACAGCGGCGCTTCGCCTCAGAATCGTCCTGCTGAAGCTGCGCCCGTGGGAAAGCGTCCTCCAGCTTCCGGAATTTACACCCGCGGCAGTCCAAGCGCGCCAGGCCGGAGGGCAGCTTCCGCTTCAGCGCCTTCTGCTCGCCCTTGCCGGGGCCGCAGGCAAGGCAAATGGCCGAGCGGTTGGCCCGGACGCGCTCCCACTGCCGATCGGAGAAGTAGTCCAGCGTCTTGGCCTCTTTGCGTTTCTCGCACGCCGCGGAGGGCGCCTTCGCCTCCCTGAAGGCTTCCCAATTCACCTCCTCGCCTCGCAGTTGCTGCAGCAGGAGCGCCGGGCTCCCGGCGCGCCACGGGTGTAGAGCCAGCGCTCGAACGGCCTGCGGCGAAGCGACCTGCTTTTGTTTCCCTCCCTTCCCCCGCCCCCCCCTTCCCTCTTTCCCGCGCGCGCCTCAAGATCAAGACGTCCTCCCTGGAGCGGACCCTGCTCGCAGCCACGGTCCCAAAGGTCACGTCGGTCCGCTTGTCGACGTTGAAGTCCACTAGCGCCGCAGGCAGCGTCTTGCCCTGGCTGCCGTGGGCCGTGATCGCGTAGGCCGGGGCCAGCGGCAGCTGCGTCCGCGCGATCTTGAGCACCGGCTTCTTGCGCTTGGCGTCCAGCTTCCAGACCTTGCGGGCGGGGTAGACCGGGTAGAGGCCGGGCTCCGGCGCCCCGTCGAGCTGCCAGGTTGCCCCGTCAAACTTCACATAGACGCAAGTCGGCCGCAGGTCGTTCTCCTTCCAGACCCAGGAGTGGATGCGGCCGGCGCTGCCTCGGAGGAGGAGCTTGTCCTCGGCGCAATCGAGGTGGTCGGCCAAGACCACGCGCATCCCGACGGCTAGCGGCAGCATGCCGGAGAGGTTCTCGGTGTCCCGGTCGTGATACTGGAGCCACCGGACCCGCGCGGCCTTGTCGCACTCCTGCGCGCGCAGGGAAGCCCCCCTCGCGCCCTGAACTTTTTCTCCCGCTCCCCCCGCGCATGCGTCTGCAGAACCTCGGCGGACGGCGCGTCCAGGGCCACAGACCAGCGGAGCGGCGACTCGGCCGCGCGGCTGTAGTCCTCGGCGCGGTCCTTGTTGATTTGGTATTTGGCGTCGTTGTTGGCAACAATGGCCGCCGCCCACCGGAACTTCTCTTCTCCCAAGCGCGGGTCGCCCGGCCCCACAATGACCCGGCGCCGAGCCCTGCGCCGCAAAACGCAAAACCGCAAAATCCTAAAAACCCCAAACCCTAAAGCCGACCCCGAACCTTAAACACGAAAACCTGAAGCCCCAAACCTCAAAGCCCGCGCCCCCGAAGCAACCGTTTCAAAAATTTGCTGTGTTGGCGCACATTGGCGCGAGCCACTAAAAGTTTAGGGTTTAGGGTTTAGGGTTTAGGGTTTAGGGTTTAGGGTTTAGGGTTTAGGGGGTTTAGGGTTTAGGGTTTAGGGTTTAGGGTTTAGGGTCAATCCAAATCCCAGGATAGCAAATCACAAGGAGCGCTTCGTCCACAGTTTCTAGTTGAAAAACACCACCCACCCAAGCTCCCATTTCATTGGGCAGCCAAATTTTTGGCGACAAGTTTGCCGAGCGGCTGAATCGCGTGCTTTTTAATCGCAAACTATCAGCCACAGGATCTTGGATTTGGACGAAAAAAGCTTCGAAAGTAGAGTTTTTGAATAGAAAGTTTCATAGCAAGAGTTTGACGAAGCAAGTTGAGCCGCGCTAGCAGCGCTGAGTTGAGCCGCGCGCTGGTGCTGGGTGAGAAGCGCTTCAAAAGCAATTCCCATGGCTTGGCGATGGTTTCGAGCTTGCAGCTAGTTTGCGTTGGTGCAAATCCCACTGGCTTGGCAACGGTTTAGGTCTCGCAGCTTCATCAAAATGAGCGCCGCGCCACAACGAGAGCGATTCGACCACGCGAAACTCCGCAGAGGGTCGCGCGAGCGATTTGAAAATCGCAAAAAAACCAAAAGTTTTCGAAGGTCGACCAGCCCAAACTCCGCAGAGGGTCACGCGAGCGTTCTGAAAATCGCAAAAAACCACGAGTTTTCGAAGGTTGACCAGCCCAAAGTCCGCAGAGGGTCGCGCGAGCGTTTTGAAAATCGCAAAAAAACACGAGTTTTCGAAGGTCGACCAGCCCAAAGTCCGCAGAGGGTCGCGCGGCGAATTGAAAATCGCAAATTCACACGAGTTTTCGAAGAATGAGAAGCGCTTCAGAAGCAATTCCAATGGCTCGGCCACGATTTGGAGCTCGCGCTAAGAACGCTCTGGAGCAAATCCCACTGGCTCGGCAACGGTTTAAGGTTCGCAGCTTCAAGAAAATGAGCGCCGCGCCACAGCGGGAGCGATTCGACCACGCGAAACTCCGCAGAGGGTCGCGCGAGCGATTTGAAAATCGCAAAAAACAACGAGTTTTCGAGGGCCGACCAGCCGAAAGTCCGCAGAGGGTCGCGCGGACGATTTGAAAATCGCAAAAAAACCACGAGTTTTCGAAGGTCGACCAGCCCAAAGTCCGCAGAGGGTCGCGCGGGCGAATTGAAAAACGTAAAAAAAACCACGAGTTTTGAAGGTCGGCGGCCCAAAACCACGACAGGGCCACGAAAAACCGCTCGCCAAGTAGAGGCTCCAAAATGACGGCCCTGCCAGCAAACGAGGATCGGGAAAAAAGTTTAGGGTTTATGTGCTGACAGGGCCAACGTTTTGGAGGGCTGAAAAAGCGCTGGACACTAAACACATTTTCCTTTAGGGTTTAAATTAATATAGATAAACAAGTTTAGGGTTTAGGGTTTAGGGTTTAGGGTTTAGGGTTTAGGGTTTAGGGTTTAGGGTTTAGGGTTTCACCTCGGAAGCGGCGCGCCTCGACCCAAAGGGTCGCGGGGTGGCGCGCCGAGGCGGCAGCTTCAACCCACCCCATTACCACCCAAACTAAAATCTTTTAGGGTTTAGGGTTTTGATTTGGAAGCCAGGCTGGCCCAAGAACAATGGAAGCGCTCGAGCGCGCCAAGACAATCGGGCGGGGGCCAAGGCGCCCCCAGGAAAAGGCGGAAGCCCCGCGAGAGCTTCGACAGCTCAACCCCCTGGTCTCCCCCAATCTTAGGGGGAAGAGGCCCGCAAAGATCAGCCCCAGAGAATAATTTGTGCGACAACGAAACCTCGTTTAGGGCCACAGTCCAGGCCGCGGCCGGGGCGACGCGAACGAAGCCGCGATCGGCGGTTGCGACCGAGGCCGCCCAGCCCCGAAAAGCTTCAAAAGCGACATCTTGGAGCTGGCCCTGGAAATGGCAGTGCTGTGCTTGGAGCTCCAAAAGCGACATTTTGGAGCTGGCCCTGGAAGGCCGTTCCGTTCTTTGCTGGAGTTCATATAAAATTGACACTTTGGAGCTCCAAAAGCGACATTCGAAGAATTTGCCATGTAGAGCTCCAAAAGCGATATTTTGGAGCTGGGTCTGGAAGTGGCCGGTCTTTATTAGAGTGTAGTGCAAAATAACCAATTTTAGCTCAAATGCACTTGGAGCTCCAGAAGCGACATTTTGGAGCTGGCCCCGGAGGTGACCGTTCTGTTCTAGAGTTTATTTAAAAGGGCGCATTTTAGCTCAAAGGTTGAGAATTTGCCACTTGAAGCCTCAAAAGCGACATTATATCAAGGCCAACGGTCAAGGCCAATGGCCGTTTTATCAAGGCCAATGGCCGTTTTATGCTTTATGAGCCCTTGCAAGGCTACAAACTCACGGAGGCTTCGCATTTGGAGCTCCGAAAGCGACATTTTGGAGCTGGTTCGTTTATATAGAAATGGCGCATTCTTGCTCAAATGTGGAGAATTTGGCACTTGGAGCTCCAAAGGAGCTTGACAAAGCTCATAAAGCTTAGAAGGAGCCCTTATAAGGGGCCTCGATAAAGCTTATAAGGAGCCCTTGCCAGGGGCCTTGTCAAAGCTCAGAAGGAGCCTTTATAAGGGGCCTTGATAAAGCTTCTGAGGAGCCTTTCTTAAGAGAAGACTTCCGGCATCATTTAGGGTCTGGACCTCCAGCTTTAGGGTAATACAATATAGGAGCTACCGCTCCATTAGTGCTGTCAGCACAAGGACCCTCTTATGATCGCATCAAGAGCGAGGACGGAGCAGGAAGCTAACTCTTCCTGCTCACCTTGTCAGGAGTCCGGGCAGCTAGACGCAGCCAGGTCGCTAAGCGCGCTGTGCGCTCGCGATTCCACGACGCTCTAAGCGAGCGGGACATCATCGCGAGCTTTAGTTTAGGGTTTAGGGTTTAGGGTTTAGGGTTTAGGGTTTAGGGTTTAGGGTTTAGGGTTTAGGGTGTGCAGATGTGGTTGCTCGCTCGGGGATAAAATCCACCAAGCCGCTCGCCTTGCGTAGCCAAGTTCGCCCGCCCCAGCCACCCAAGGTAAAGACTTTTAGGGTTTAGGGTTCCATTCGAGGTGGAACCCTTGAACGGGGTCCACGCCAACGTGGCGCCGTCTGAAGCAGCTGGGCTGCCAGCTGCCTGCCTCGCTAAACGTCTTGCCTGCGCAGGCGTGGGTTGCGCTGCAAAGCGCTGCGCTGGCATGGGTGCGGGCTGCGGCGGCAAGTACCATGTAGACGGCGTCTACACAATCCTCAGCATCCACAAGGCGGGCGGACGACAGAGTGCGTGGAGTTACCCAGGCTTGCGCAGGCCGCCAAGCACCACGTAGACGCCGTCTACCTGATCCGTGGGGCGGGTTCCACACGAGCGCGTCGCACGCTGCGTTTGCCTGGGCGTGGGCTGCGGCGGCAAGCGCCATGTAGACGGCGTCTACATAATCCTCAGCGTTCACAAGGTGGCCGCCAGCTGCTTGCTTCGCTAACCTTTTCCTGCGCAGGCGTGTCAAGCTGCAAAGCGTGGAGTTGCCAAGGCGCCAAGACCCGGCTGCCCAAATGCGCGTGGGCCAAGCGCGCGTTGATGTTGTCAGCGTCCACAAGGCGGGCGGACGACAGAGTGCGTGGAGTTGCCCGGGCTTGCGCACGCCGCCAAGAAGAAGTAGACGACGTCTAACTGATCTGCGGGGCGGGTTCCACACGAGCGCGTCGCACGCTGCGTTTGCCTGGGCGTGGGCTGCGGCGGCAAGTACCATGTAGACGGCGTCTACATAATCCTCAGCGTCCACAACGTGGCCGCCAGCTGCTTGCTTCGCTAACCTTTTCCTGCGCAGGCGTGGGTCACGCTGCAAAGCGGGGAGTTGCCAAGGCGCCAAGACCGGCTGCCCAAACGCGCGTGGGCCAAGCGCGCACGTTGATGTTGTCTGCAAGCAAGCCGCAGAGCTGAGCGTGTCAGGCGCTGCGCTTGCGTGTGGGTGACCTGCGCGCACGCTTCGCCGCGAGATCAACGAGGGTCCTTGTGCTCGGCGTGCAAGAACACATAAGGCTCCTTGTACTTGGCGTACACCCCCCCCCAGCCGGGGCAGGTCCCGCATATTACCCGTATGCAAAAGTTATCAGCAGCGCAGAAAGGATCTGCAAGGCTCCTTGTGCTTGGCGTGTACCCCCCCCCAGCCGGGGCAGGTCCCCGCTATTACCCGTATGCAAAAGTTATCAGCAGCGCAAGAAGCGACCTTCAAAAAGTCCTTTTGCGCGGCGTGTACCCCCCCCCAGCCGGGGCAGGTCCCGCTATTACCCGTATGCAAAAGTTATCAACAGTGCACTAAACCACCCCCACATGCAAATGGTGCACGGTTTATGGTAATCCTATACTGGCTGCGCCAGAGGGTGTGGGTCGTCGTGCCACTTGCAGAGCCGCACAGCGGTTGTCCTGCTAGGCTTGACCCTAGCAGGCCCTCAGGTTCGCACTGGCGTCTCGGCTTGACCTCGAGCCCGAAGGCTCGCATGCCCATGTATATGGCCAGAGGCATGCTCGCCTGTTTAGGGTTGAGGGTTTAGGGTTTAGGGTTTAGGGTTTAGGGTTTAGGGTTTAGGGTCCGCCAACACAGTGTGGTGGCGCCCTAGGCAATGTCGATTAGGGTCCGCCAACACAGTGTGGTGGCGCCCTAGCCAAATGTCGAGAGCGAGTAGCGGAGACCTCAAAGCTTCGAAAGTTTTTCTATATAGGGGAATCCCAACACTGTAATCCGAAAAGGTCGAGCTTTTTTATGATAAAATGGTCTACGGGCTTGATAAAATGGACTACGAGGGCTGCCTTGGCTTGATAAAACGGCGATAAAATGGTCTACGGCTT